CCGCTGTGGCCTGTGGCGCCGTCACCCGGCGCAGCCCAGCTGGCCGAGCTGAGCGCCGCTGCTGCTGCCGCCGCCCGCTGCCCAGAAGCGCCGGGACGGTTCGGGGTTGCGCCGGGGACTGTCCCGCCCTTCCGCCTCGGTCCTCCAGTCAGCTGGCCGCGCGGGTCCTGTTATCATGTCACTGAGGCAGCGGCTGGCTCGGCTGGCGAGCCGTCTGCAGGAGCCGCAGAAAGTGGCCCGTTTCCAGCAGCTGTGCGGGGTGGAAGCGCTGCCAAGCGACTCCTCCGCAGCCGGTGCCGACCGTAGGGGAGATGACGAAGAGGCGGAGGCACCGCTAACCGGGGATTCCCGGCGAAGAGGGCCACAGCCAAGGGACCTCCAGCCGCCCGGGAGCGACCTCAATCAGTGCCCGGCCAAGCTGGGCGGTGGCGCCCCCAACGGCGTGCGGAATGGGCTGCCGGCCGAGCTGGGCCCGGCTCCGCCGCGGCGCGTGGGCGCTCTGCGCCGCAACTCGCTGACCGGCGAGGAGGGCAAGCTGGCCAGTGTAAGCAACTGGCCCCTCTACTACCTGTTCAGCCTCGGCACGGAGCTGGGCAACGAACTCTTTTACATCATTTTCTTCCCCTTTTGGATCTGGAACCTGGACGCCCTGGTCGGCCGTAGACTCGTGGTCATCTGGGTACTGGTCATGTACCTGGGCCAGTGCACCAAGGACATCATCCGTTGGCCGCGGCCTGCCTCGCCGCCCGTGGTCAAGTTGGAGGTGTTCTACAACTCCGAGTACAGCATGCCCTCTACCCATGCCATGTCCGGCACCGCCATCCCCATTTCCATGATCCTTCTCACCTACGGCCGCTGGCAGGTAAGGGCCCCTCGGCTTCCCCCGTTTGTCCTGGGGGGAGCGAACGAGACGGGAGGCAGGGGTGGATAAGCAGAAACTCAACTCGGAGTTCCCCCTCGCTGTCTGCAGTTATTCTCACTTGGTGATTTCCCTCCCAAACCCCACCGCACAGCCAACAAATAGGCCCTTTCTAGTTATTAGTTGTTTTTTTTTAAGTGTACGTGATCAGGGGAAATCTGCAGACTTAGGTGTCAAACTGTATGTTAAAAGCAAGTACTTTGCACAAAGTAATTCTTTATCGTGAGGCCTTGGTTGAGTTTTTTAAAATGTTTTAATTGCTATGATACACACAAGTGACTTTTCCCTAGTTCGTGGTTAAGATAACTGAGACACAATTTCACTGTAGTACTCATACATGCTGCCTTCCCCCTAAATTGATTATCTGATTTAGGTACTGCCACTAGCTCTCTTGTGAGACCATAATGTACAAAATCTTAGCATGTTCCGAAGCGAACTTGCTAGTTTCAAGGACTCAAGTAAACCACCCTTTGTGAAAGTTAATGGAACACATTGCACCTGAGTTAACTACTCTACCCTTCCTTTTAAGGGTGTGTGTGCTCATTTGCTGACGGGCAGTTTATTTATCTCCCAGATCACTGATCTGTTGTGTGTATGAGCTGATGAGCTACCCTAGTATTAACTGTAAAAATGAATGAGTTTAAAGTTATTCTTAAAAGTAGAGCTCTTAGCATAGTGATCCTGCTTGGTTACCTTAGAGCAGGTGGTGGGCCGGCAACGTCTGGCGCATGGGGTCCCCAGCTGATCTCCTCCCTCCCTGCCTTCCTCG